CATTGCTGTACTGCCACCTGCCCTGGCTTCATCTAACTCTGATAATGTAGAACTATGCTTGCCTTTTACAAATAGACATATAAATATTAGATCAGCATTGGGGTATCTTGTAGAAGTCTAATGCAATAGCGGGAAGACATGGCTCAACCGCCAACTCGGCCCTTCTTCTTCTTTAATCTACTCTCATCAGAGCTAGATGGAGTGCCGACCTTCTCCGGCACCTTTCCTGGTGTATCCACTCTCACCAATGGAGTCCCCATCTTGGTAGAGATTGTATTTGGCGGCTGTTTTGCTGTCGCCGTCCGATCTACGTCATTGGCCTTGGACATGATAAACGATCCAGGCTCGCCGACCAACGGACTCTCATCCATGTACTCGTCCTCATATCTGAGAAAGAGATTTAGCGATTCAGCGAGTGTCCTCGTATCCTGGAATGTAGAAGCAGTGTTCCCCGTCTGCGACCCCACCAGCGGGACTCTGGTCGGATTCTCTGCATCAGGCAAGGGTGTGTTCTCCTTGCTCTGCTGAGACGGGACACCAGGTTGACCGGCATCAGCCGGTTTCGGAGCCGGTGGTAGATAGGTATGTCCATGGGCCGGGGTGAAGATTGGCAGCGTCGATGCGGTTTTCAGTAGACTGGTTAGGGATGTGACAGCAGAGAGCTGATGCAATTCGGTCAGCCATGCCCTTCCACAAGCGAGAGAAAAAGAACCATTGCAAACATACGATGCGGTTACCAACGACACTTGCAACCGAGGGTGCCATGTAGATACAATCTCCCACCACAAAGAATGTCGCCAGGACCACCACCTCATCTTCCTGGCCAGCGCGCTTTCGCCGCATCTGCTTGCGAATCACCCATACGTTCGAGGGTTCGTGAGCGAACTGAGTATCTGTTTGCGCAGCGGCTTGCAACGGATCGTAAGCGACGACAAACTCCAGGCCTTGCATAGTCCTCAAACGCCCTTCAAAAGCTTCGCGGGTCTCGACGAAATGGCGAAAGGCTTCATTGTAGTTGGCCTGGATAGCGAGGGAGGCGTTATTCGAGGTGGCATCGAAGAAGGGTGATTCTGCGAAATAGAACAAAACTGATCGTTGCCCATCGTGTCAAAAAGTTGGTTCTGAAATCTGCAAGCTTGCTAAGCCCAGAGAAGCTGCCCTTACTGTTGTTCGAATGCAGATATCCTCCCATCATCTGGACGTGCGGGGGAGACCGCCAGAGAATCTCCTCTAACGAAGCATCCTGAGGACCGGCCATTGAGGTGTTCCTTAAACTTCAGAATAGACCAAAGTTGACACACGTGTATAATTCGAGAGCTAGGTCACAGCGAAGCTCAGTTGTCTTCCCAAGGATCGCTGGTGTGACCTCAGATATTGACCAGTTGATAGCTCTCCGCGGAGACAGAAAGTGATGTTTGGAATGTTTGCAACTTTACATAGCTGCCGCATATTATCAAGTAGAGCCCAAATTACTGTAGTACAGAATACTGATGGTCGTAAGAACTGCAAGGTACAGAGACAATGGACGAGTACGTATATATATTTGTTTAATGACCTATGATTCCTTCATGAGGATAACATGGAGTATATCCGAGTAACCTAACGCCATACCCCAAGTCCCCCACGCTGAATGTTGAATCGACCTCTATCGTCTAATGCAAATCGTATAAAAATCGCTGCAAATGTTGAAGTATTCGCCTTGGGTGCCCATAATATCATCGCAAGAAAGAAAAAGCGCTCGCTATCGGTTAATCGGAGTGAAAATTCCACAAACCGTACGCAGCTTGGTCAACATCTCGTCCCATTCCCCTTCGGGAGTACTCAGAGTGGTCACAGCTCCCCCGGCGCCAATTCGCCAGAGTTGCTCGTCATCTTGCTCATCTGAGCAGGTGAAAGCTGTGCGGATGAGCACTGAGAAACTTCCCCCGCCGCCGAGGTCCAGGAAGCCCATGACGCCCGAATAGATCCCACGTTTTCGGTCCTCGATTGAGCTGAGGTGCATGCATGAGCGTTCCTTAGGGGCACCAGTCATCGAGCCAGGCKGCAGACATCTTTGCAACGAGGTCAGTCCGTATCCGGACATGTTCGAGGAGGGTAACTGCGGCATATCCCGTGCGGCAAATCCGGGCCGATTTCGATCAACCCTGGCTTTGACATGAGTGATCATCTGGTAAACACGTCCATGATCCTCTACTTCCAGGAGTTTTTCTACGTGGACGCCGCCAGAGCCACAGATGCCGTAGAGGTCGTGACGGATCAGATCCGCGATCATGAGATTCTCTGCCATCTCTTTCGTCGATCCAAGAATTTCTCTGGCCTTCTCCATGGTCATATCTTCGGTTTTCCTCACAGTGCCCTTCATTGGCTTCATTTCCAGCGTAGAGTCCCGATCCCAGTTGAGGAAGCATTCGGGGCTGCTGCTGACAATCTTGACGTGACCAAGTCGCGCAAAACCACTAAAGGCGGCGGGGTTGTACTTTCTCAAACGCTTGTACAGCTTCCAGGGGAAACTGGCACGGTCACTCCGACTAACTGGAGAGGGTAACGTAATCAACGTTTCCCCAGTGAGACATAGTTCGTACGATTCACCAGCCTCCAACTCAGCCTGACAAGCCTTGATCTGCCTCTGATAATTCTCCTGGGTTGGGAACTCGATAACGCTCTGCTTGAGGATAGAATCTAAAAATTCTGCCTCCGTGTCGCTGGTGCAGACCTTGCATTGACTCCTGCTAAGTGCAAGGTCTTGTAAAAACTGCTCGGTCTGATGGAGCCATCCAGTCGGTAGATCATCGTCAGCCCGCGTTGACTGGACCGTGAGTTGACCTGTCTTGTGGTCGACAACAATACTCCTTTCAGTCCACAGCATGCTGGCGTCGGCAGGATCTTCTCCGGCATTTTTGCTGCTCGGGTGGATTTCTGCAGCTGTTTTGGGACGTGCAAGGCAGGCAAGTCCCATTTCATAGGAAAAGTAACCCAGGAAACCTCCCCAGAATGGCACAGTGAGACTTCCCGAAACAACCTTCTTCATATCCATCACGAACCTCAGCATATCCCAGAACTGAGAGACCGAGATGGATCTCTCGATAATGTTCTCTGTGACTGACTGCCCACTTGGGGCACTTTCTGTCCCATGGCAATCCTGCAGCTTCTCTAGCAGCAGTTTCTGAGTCTCAGAATAGTATTCGAGCCTCCAGCTGGCGGGGCTTGGCACCGAGATGATACTGTACCTCCCATTAGATTGGAATAGCACGGTTGGCGAGTTGGGGGCATTCAAGTTCTCGCAGACGACTTCTGCATCCAGGCTTCTCGCAGTGAAAGTACGATATGCGGAACAGGATGAAGTGCTTGCGCTCCAGTTCAACATTGTGGACGCAGCGTCGGGAAGAGTAACACTACCACTGGCGTGGTGATTAGGGTCTGGAAGAATACCATATCCTTCTCGCCCGGTCTTTTTGTTGTAATTTAGGGCCATATCCCACCATCTTCTGAGCAATTCAGCGCAAACTTCCCTGTCAGATTTGCAAGACTCAGGGTGAAACTGCACACCCCAAAGTGGTCTCTTCTGGTGGCGCACAGCCATGGGAATCTGTGTCTTTCCGTCTTCTAGGAGAAACCAAGCTAGAAGGTCAAGGTCCTTGGAAGCGAATCGATCGGCTTGAGGGCTGCCGCTATTGCCCCCTCGAGTCAACTGTTCCGAAACATCCAATTTGGCATATAGCGAGTGATAAAGGGTCACCTCGACATCTTGCACGTTTTCGAAAATGTCCCTGTTCGCAGTCTTGATTCGATGAACCTGGCCATGTAGTGGATACGGCAATCGTCCTATAGGGATGCCCTGATGAAGACAAAGACTCTGAAAACCAAGACAGATCCCGAAGACAGGTAACATATCCGCACCGCTCAGGTTCCAAATATCGCGCATGATGCCGACATCTTTAGCAATATTCGGATCCCCAGGCCCAGGGCCAAGCACAACAGCTTCGAAATGCTGCAGGTACTTGACCATGTTGCCGTCTGGCCAATCGGAGTCAATGGTCATCACCGAGACTTTAACATCCAGAACCTCTTCGAGCATCGCCACAACATTATACGAGAAGGAATCGTATGCATCAATGTAGAGGACATTTTTTCGAGCAGGAGCATCAACACTCGAGCCAGATGACTGACCAGCACCTGAAGCCCTCTCATCGTCGCCTATAAATGGCGCCATATTGTCGTGACCCGCAGGCTCGAACGGTACTCACACAGAAACACCAAAATGGGAGTGTGTTAAAGTGAGAGATGAAGTGCGATGCAATTATCCAACACAGTGATCAAGTGAAATGAATCAAGGACGTCAAGAGCGTATGTAGTCGACACCCAGAATTCATCGGCCAACGACCAGGAGTGGCGATAGGCAAATCTTTAGATACACTGTCCTCCTACCTGAGGGGCCAGTTTTTGATCAGTTAATGTGTCCCCATGGACGGAATGCACATATTGAAAATGTTTCAGAAATCCCAAAAGGTTCAAATACGCAAGAAAGATTGTAGAAGGAAAATCATAAAAGAAAAGGACAGACAGAGACTACTCTACGCCTAAAAAAACACGGCGGAAAGAAAAGGGTTCCTGGAAGTGGAGCGGCAATCAACGGAACATTTTGCTCTACGACCCTTGGGTCATCCTCCGATAACCTTCTTCCCCCGAACGGTCCAGCATCGGCTGATGAAGATGATTGGGAGAGGAAGGGGAGGGCCATAATTTCTGGATGACAGTKGCAACTGGTTGCTCTGTTTGGTTATTTGTCCATAAAGAACTGCCTGCTTGCCACTCTAGGACCTCAAGCTCCAGTTGAAGCCTCTCGACAAGGAGGGAAAAAAAAGAAAGGAAATGGTTATTGCATTATGTTCAGTTATATAAGCGCCGAAATGCCATGGTTTATGTACTGTAACACGTATTATGTCTATACCCTTGACGACTCATGGAAGCACTCATTACGTTCATCAAATCGTATAATGATTTCATTCACTTGAACCCGACTTTGGCTTGCTCGCGTTGGCCAGCTTGACCGCGATCTTGGGGAAATATTGTGCCACGAAGCTCTCACTGTAGCAAGTTAGTCGACTTTCCATATCATCAAAGACAGAGGGTCCTCTTACCTGTAGTAACTGTGGGCGGAACTATGGTCTCCCACCAGGTTATGGGCCAATTCGTGACAGAGGATGACCCACCAGTATACCATCGATTCAGATCTGTCAGCCGACTGATTTTGAAGCAATTCCTTTTCATGCAGCTGCTGGAAGTAGAAGTAGTTGCAGAAAATACTGCCAGCCCGGTTGAACGCTATTGTCTTTCCACCCGAGTCGTAAAAAACACTAAGACTGTCCTTGCGCAGTGAAAAGACACTAGCACATTCAATCAACAGGGCGGCGAATAAATTGATTCCAGCACTGTTCTTGGACAGGAATGCCGATCGATCAGCTAGAGTCTTCACGAAGAGCACATTGATTCCACAGGGAAGAGTCGCCACGAACTCCAAGTCATGGCTTGGCTTCTCATCACAGTAGGATTTTGTCTCAGTGACCTCATTCGTTTCCGGCCGGCTGTACAAGCTAGACGATCCGTGAGGCCGGCAGGCTTGAATAGCAGAGAGCAACTCTGTCTGCAAACGATGCGGAGGATGCACAGGCGCGGGTTCTTCCGGGCGCGGTCTCTGAGGGTCGTCTGCAGAATATGGCGGAGGAGGGGTGCCTGTAGGCTCCGGTGTCCCAGCAGGCTGAGGGGGCGACGACTGTCCCCCAAGAGGATTCCAGTTCGACCGGCCACCTTCCAAACCAAATCGTTTGGTCAGGTTGGCAAACAAACCGCGCGGACGCCGCTCCTGGAGTGTCTCTGCTGCTTCGACTTGCACATTGCGATTCGGCTCCTTATTAGTTGGCGAGTCTGGAAAATCACCCGGCATGAGAGATTGACTCTTCGCTTCCGTCTCCCGTTCCTGTGCCTGATGTTGAGCCTGTTCCTTGGCCCAAGCAGCTTCCCTTTCTTGCAGGCGCTGTCGCTCCTCTTCCAACTGTTTCTGGCGCCGATCCTCAGCTATCTTGGCCTCTTGTGCCTTTTGCTTCAGAATCCTCTCCACGTTATATCCTCGTGCCTTGAGTTCTAGGAGGTCAGTCTTCAGTAACATCTCTAAGGTCAGCGTGGAATGGAGCTTTGGCCGAACGAGGATGAGATGTACAAGAGCTTGACTGATTTCGTATAAGTCGTATTTGCCGGGACAGATCCAAAGAATCCAAGTTCGTGCGTTTTGGGTGATTATTGCACTCCGTTTCTGGGTGTGCGACACCCGACGGCCCTTGAGAGACCGCGTGAGCGAGATTGAGTTCACGACTTGCACTTGGAGGTTCTTCTCCAGCCATCTGACGTCGTGGCGAATTGAATCCGGGGATTGATCATGAAGGAACAGCCTTGAACGTTCGTTGATCAGCTTATGCAGTTTAGCCGCTGGACGCTGATCGGGGCCCACGGCTCCCCAGTTGGCACGTTCCTCCACCAGCCCGCTTAATGGGACAGCTCCGAGTGCGGAGTAGAAGTTCTCTAACAATTCCTCTTGCGGTGCAGCTAGTATGTGCTCTTTGAAAAGGTTGAAACTCTGAAAATCATCCACTACAACTGCATCTTTTGCAGTTGTCAACGTCCATTCCTTGATGCTCTGATCCTCTACCTCATCGTCATCTGAGCCCAGAAGATCCTCGCTCTTGACCTTTCCCTGAGCCAGAGAGGTGATATCTCGACTCGCCAGAAGAAAAGCGGACCTTTTCATCTCAGTGAAGAGTTCCTTGTCCCGTCTCAGAACAGCAAGGTGCTCTGCAAGACTTCTCAGGAGCTTGAGATACTTGTCGGCACTTTGAAAAGAAGCAGAAATTCTGGCCGGTTCTTTGACTAGCATGTACGCAAGTTCGGTCTTTGTTGGCTCCCTCTTAGACCCGACTGCCATGAGGAAGAAGTTGGCCTCTTGACCAAAATCCACAAAGTCAAAGATGTCTCGGTATTCTTCGCCCTCTCCAAGGTAGCATAGCTTCGGGGCGACACGACGAATAACCGAACCTTGCTCGACTGTATCCCTTGCTGTGATCGGGACTATTTGTGCATTACCTGTTCGCTCTATATCCCGTGCGCTTAACTCCGATACTCTCCCAGCAAGATACTTGAACAGCACTCTCGCGTCTCGCTTCGTGGATGGTGGATGACGGATCAGGTAATCAAGACAACTTGTCATGCTGGCATGTTGCTTGACTCCAAATTTCGGAGCATGAGGGTGAAGGTCACGTCGGAGAATCTTAAAACCAAACAGTGTTGCGCCTTCATCAGTGAAACATCTGCCTGGTGTGCTCAAATCGCGAGCTCCTTCAATGGGCAGAAACGGAACATTGACAGCACTGCAATCGAAATTGGCATAACCGTTTGTATGATACTCCGAAATGTAGTAAGACATAGCTTTTCCGTGCAAAACCCAGTCATCCGCAGCCGCAGCCTTTGCCATAATATCTATCAGCTCAGGCTCCGCGGGGATACTCCTCAAGCCAAGCATGGTAAGGAATTTTCCTTCAATGCTGCTTGGCTGATATTTCCCCGGCCATTCGAGGATGGGGAGTCCAAGGTCTCTAAGGGAATCTTTMGGCTCAAACAACTCAAACAGCTTATATCGCTTTCCACCTACCGGCTTCGAGACTCCCGTTGCTTCGGCGGTGCAAATGCTCGTATTCTTGAGTCTTTTGATGTCATTCGCCGGGATGTCATCGCGAACGGAAGCAAGATAACGAATGAGATCAACGTGACTCCATTTCCGTTGATTGTCGCTCTTGCCATCGGAAGTTTGGGGGTTATCGAGGAGCCGTTCGAAAATGACACCAAGTTCGACAGTCTTACGAACGCCAAGCGCCATGAGGAACTTTTCCTTAACGCTATTGAGACCATGAACAACGGGGAGGTCGTCGAACAGCCGTACTGAAGAGAAATATGTCTCTGGGGGTCGTTTCATCCCAAGTTTGGTTGGAATGACTGTTTGCGAATGCAACAATGTGACAATCGTCTGCTTCGATGACTGGCTGAGGCCGTTATCCCATTGTTTTGACAGCACAGGAAGAATCTGCGCAGAGAAGGACGACGTCTGCGTTATATCTTGCTCTGGTGGGAGAACATCCCTATTACCCGCATTGATGACAAGCCAGCGGATCCAAGGGACTGTCTCGAGCTCCGTCCACCCAAGTGCTTCTAGCTCCTGCTTCGAAAGAGACTTGGTGTATTTGAAAGGTATAACTGAGGACGGCACGGGCAAATCAACCGGTATACGCTGAGGATTCAGAAAGTTGTTAATGTCCCCGAAAACAAGTAGCCGGGCAAGATTGCCGGAGCTATCTTCATGGTTTGCTACTGCAACACTCAAGAGGCTCTGGATTGAGAAAGAATCAAGTTGGCCTGAAGTAGCTTTCCGACTCAACCAACCAAGAAATTCGATGACCTGGTCCGGCCGTAAGGTACTGGCCTCGAGTTCTCGCTTGATATCCGAGACTGTGACTTCAGTGACCAGCCCAAAATCAGTTAATTTTCTGACGAAATCTTTTGCACCCGACACAAGCTCATCCGGCAGGACCGGGATAGAGTCCATGAAGCTCAAGTCTTTTGGAGCAATGCGTGCCTGATGACTTGGCATAATACCACATGTTGACAATACCTCTATGGAGGCGTTTTTATTACATGTCCAGAAGGCGTCTTCGATAGTTTGACCTAATAACGATGACGGCGTCGACTCGCGGAAAACAAATTGATTCGCGGTGTAAATCGCTTCAGGCAAGGCTCCAACAATATCATCTTTTCGAATCTTTGATGGCTTGGAAGAGTCGACCTTGGACATGATTCTGGACTTAATCGACGCCATTTCTGCGGACCAAGCAACTCGACAGACTATTCCCGCCGCACGTAACATTTCAAGGTTCCATTTGCTGATGTATCTTGTATTGAGGTCAATACTCTCTCTCTCAACGGTCGGAATCACTGAAGGCGCAGATATGTGAGCGTTCAATCCTGTTGTCTGGTGGGTGGGGAATCCTATGAAAACCCTTCCAGCCTTAGTGGGTAGAATCGAGGATAGGATCTCTGATCGTGACGTGGACGCTTCGGATGCAACGTCCGTGTCATAGGAAGGCGTAAGTATCGCGAGAGTAGTTCGTTTGGGTGGAGGCTTGCGCGTAGCTCGTTCAAGCTCGCTGCTCAGGGAGTGACCGACGGAACACTGGATACTTGCAGTGCTGATATGTAAGAAAACGGATGCTTTCAAGACGGTGGTCAAGTCTCCGGATACACTGATGTTGTCCGGTTTCTCGACCTTTGCAAGGTTCTCTTGTGTGCTCTGACCGGCGAGTCTGGAAAAAAATGTACGCAAGGAGCCTGTGGTATCTCTCAGTCCGTCCAAGCGAAATACGCTTGTGTTCGGATTCCACTCAACGACACGCATCCAGGCCGCGTCGACCTGAATTACCTCTCGAGTGATACCCGTTACTTTCATCAAGCCTTGAGGCGTCTTCGTTTCAATGTCTTTGGGGATCGTAAGATTGACGCTGGGAGCAGTCTTCTTCACGAGCCGAAGGAGATTCCAGTCGTCGAGCCATAATTCTATGCTCTCGAGACTGACGAAAGTAAGACTGCTTGATAAGAATTGACACAGCTGCATCAGAGACGGAATCGGAGAAGTATCGTTGCGATAGTCAAGCACAAATGTTGTTTCTGGATTCGACTCTTCGCTTAGTTGCAAGCGACGTGTAAATAGCGCGTTTCCCTTCCAGTAGAAAGCCATTGCATCTTTGCCTGAAGACACAAATGGTTCCTCGCAGTCATCAAAGACGCTGTAAAACCCGACTCCAAATGCGCCGATCTTAGTTTCGTCAGGATTTCCGTCCGCAATACGTTTCAGTCTTGCCCAATCCTTCTCGCTGAAAGGAAGGCCATTATTCGAAATCAACAAACGCTTGAGGGTATGATGGGATATGGTGTGCTTCAACAAGGTGGTCTGATCGGCGCTGGCAGGTAAGGGTACGGTTGTAGAAGGCAGAGTCTCAAACTTGATAGTGACCTTGGTAGCATTTGCGTCGGCTGCATTCTGAATCATCTCTCGTAGAACGGTCCTGTCCACTTTGTATTAGTACTGTTCTCTCGAAGCCAAGAACAAGACGGCAACAATCACTTACCATTTTCCTGAATATCGTGCGAGGACCTTGGATATCAAGCCCCGTGTGTCAACAGTGACAGCCTCTTCGTCGTTACCTGAGCCCATCGTCCGCGCCTTCAGCGCGTTGAAATCGATGTTCTTCGCCATGTCGTAAGAATCAAGAGGATCGGCGCATAGATTATCAAGCCACTTCAATAAAATGCTTCAACTGAAAGTGCACGTAATCAGGAAGCAAGAGTATTAGTCTGTGTATGCCTCAAATATTTGGAACTCCAGATATTACGTGGTCGATAAACATGGGTACCCAGACAACCGACGAGAATAAGTCTGTAACAAGGTGCTTCTTGGTATTTGATCGAGTCTAGAATCAAAGAAGATCAGAATAAAAAGGCAAACAGAATAAGCATACAAAACAGAGACAACGAATGGCAACAAGCAGGAAATGTATATATATGTATATGAAGCGGTACCTTTTGGTCTGAGGCGAACGTCCTTCTTATCGGAGACGGCGGAGTTAATCGACCAAGGTTATCGCTTATCGCCACGTGCATGGGTTACATAATCCACCTTATCCCATGACAGGAACGCTACGGCGGACCAGGAATGCCAAAAGCGCTGTGATTATCGAATCGCTGTGGATCATTATTATTATTACCTTTCTACTATCAGTTGTTGGTTGTTGTTGATTGAGCCGACGAGTGACCAGAAGGTCACATATTTGTGATCAGGACTGTCAGACTGGCATTAATTCTGTCCTCTATTTCTTGCGCCGTCCACAAATTTCCAAGATCATTTTGTCGTATGATTTTTATGAGCTTGGGTCTCTCCGTGTGGAAGCAGTCCAGAGCATATCGCCGACTGCCTCCCCTCCCGCCTCCTTTCCGATGACAACATGGCCGTGGATCCCCTTTCCCCCATTGCGCCCGCGCGTTTGAGGGCACTGCTACTTCCTGTCGGGAGGATTAAGCGCTCGAGGTTCCTTAGCTTCGCTGCAAGACTACAGGCGGAAAATGTTGTTCGCCTGGGGGATATCAGCCCCAATGCGCGGCCCAATCGAAGTAGGCACTGTCGCTTCTTCCGTAAGGAAGAAAGAATACAACATGTTTATGACATTGGATGCAATGATTGACTGATTCTCCTGTTAGATATGTTTTCTCCACTTGCATTTCCGACTGGAATGATAATATATGACCTTACTTTTTCCGTCCCTCCCATATCACATTTAGAGTTGTTCCCATTCGAGATCTTCCGAGAACCCTTGGTCGTCATTGCTATAGCGGATGGAGCCGAACTTTCCGAAGAATATGAGGAGAGTGAGAGGGATTCAGTCACAAGGTCCGGCGATCGAATGCAACCCGAGCTAGACGAACTGTTGGACGGACTGCGCTTTGTCAAGGAGAAAAACACACGGGCTCTGGTTCACCAGCTCTTGATCTTCGATCGTGAGGGAGTGAGCAAGCTTTCGAGTGGTCCCGACGGTATCATGTGGGTTCCGCGACCTGAAGCGTCTAAGGCAACCACGATAAAGACTGCCTTGTGTGATATCACGTCGATACTGCTTTCTGAGCTTGACGAGTTCGCGAAGACAATTCAAAGCATTCCCTTTATTGAATCTCCCAAGGCCTCATCCTGGGGCCCGCATCGTGGCCCAGATCTGCGTGCAAGGCCTTCCGACAGGCTGATTCATCGGATGACCCTGCCTGCGCATCTCCCATCCCACCCCAATGATTCACCAGAGACTTCTTTGGCTTCCAATAAGAGCTCTCCTGGTCCAAGCGAGCATGAGACACCTACTACCTTTGACGAAATTACACGGTCTATCCAGTTGGCTAATCGCGCAAGTACCATTGGTAAACCCCACTCTCTGCCAACCTCGAAAGAGCATAGCCGTGATCGAATGTCAGTGAGCGGAATGAGTGCTACTGATCGCACGAAAAACCGGATCAAAGGTCGAACGGGAGTCGTAATTGGGACGCTCTTTCTTCAGACGGGGAGATGGCCAGACGCTCTCAAAGAGTTGGTAGAAGCAGCAACAAATGCTAGGGCAAGCAGTGATTATGTCTGGCATGCCAAAGCTCTCGAGTCCATCCTTCTTTGTCTTCTCATGTTCGCATGGGCAGGCATGGATTTCCAGGTGCGTTCTATACCCTATTCTGCATCTTTTTCACTGCACCAATTCCACTGATCCCCTGTGCGTTAGATACCTCCGATCTGCTACCCGGTCGCCGACAAATCCTCTAAAGCAATCCAAAGCAGCGCTCTTGAAGTAGGACAGTCTACACCTGGGAACCGCATCATCTCCCTTCAAAATCTTGCTAACCTCTTACCCGACCTTGCGAACAATATCCTTCATCTCTACGATCGTGCTTCCAACATCACAGATGAGCCGGTGCCCCAGCTTGTCTTTTCGGAGACAGTAATCCGGCTCTCAAGGTTGCTGGTAGCCGCGCGAATACGCGATGGCGCTCTGGACGACAATGCTTTGAAGCACATCGTAATGAACGAGCCTTTGCTGCCACTGCATCGGCCAGAACGTCCTCGTGGCTTGATCATCCTCCGCCAGTCAGAGATTGCGAATTTCCTGTTCCGTTCTTTACCACTCTCCCCTAGCTCAGATCTGCCTGCAACAGATACTATACCGATTATCGTTGGAGTCGTGTCTGTACTGAATGCGCTTGATCTACCGCGAAAGAAAGCATTCATTTTGCGGGAATTCCTTTCAGTAATAGTTCCAACTCTCGTTCAGGCCCGCAAAATTGGTGCTGCAGAAGTTGGGATTCACCCCGCCGCTGGGTTGGCATCGCTCAGTGATACAGCATTTGAGATCAACGCTCTTGATGTCGGACCAGGTAATATGGAAAGTAGTATGCGTGCCCTTTTGGGACTCATAGGGGAAATATATGGGGTTCAACCATCTCCATTCTATGAGTGGGAGAAGAAACGTTCCTCGACTGTGAGGGGTACGGAACCAATACCTGAGTATGACTCCATCGCCGCCATTATTGAGCGATCATTTCGCCATGTGGCTCTGGACAGATATGGAGACATGAATTTGAAAATAGACGCTCTCAAAGCCTGTATCAACTGCTGTGAGGCCCTTCCTGATTTCACTGGTGTTCTCCGGTTCACAGTTGAGCTGCTTCAAACCATTCGGGGAGACCTGATGCTTGCTGAAACTTATTATCAGCCTCCGTTTCTGCCGCAAGACGAGCAGGTTCGCCTATTGAACAATATTAAGCGAACAGTCGGCGCTGCTCATAAGCTTGGCGCTTCAGATCTAGAGGCTGAGTACTGGGATGACTTCCTCGTGCGTGACGTACGGCTCCTTGCTCTACCAGACTCTAAGAGACCTGTTCGACGTTCCAAGTCACATCTTGATGTCGTCACGATCAATGGCGACAAGCCCTCAAAAGATCCATTCTTATATAACCCATTTTCTAAAACAAGCAGTAAAATCTCCGAGTCGCTCATGATCGCTGGTGAGCATGCAGCATTCACAGTTACTCTTCAAAACCCCTATGAGTTTGAAATCGAGATTGAACGGATTCGTCTCCACGGTGAAGGTGTGCCATTAGATGCTGTTGCAGAATGGATAATACTTCCACCACTTTGTCTACAAGAAGTGACGGTTATCGGAAGTGCCCCTACAGAAGGGACAGTTAACGTCACCAGCTGTATTGTCAAAGTCCGATATTGCAGGGAACGCAAATTCCCGATATTCAAGGAATTCTGGAAACCAGAGATTGAAAGGAAGTTCAAGCGAACAGGTCTCGCAGCTAAAAGACCTTTGACAGATCGGCCCCTCTCCTGGAGCTCGACGACTTCGAAAGATGGAAAACAGCAGCCGAAGAAAGGCCCCGAGACAAAGACCTGTGAAGTCAAAGTCATTGGCCAACAACCGTCCCTTGTGATTGAATCGATGTCATTATTGCAATCAGCGATGATGGTGCTGGAAGGAGAAACCCAATCCTTCAACATCACGCTGCGTAACACGTCAAATTGCCCCCTTGACTTCATAACTTTCACGTTTCATGATTCCACTACGAGACAGATTCAATCCGCGCTGACAAATAAGGACCTGCTGCCGGTAGAAGTGTACGAGTTGGAACTGCAATTATCTATGAAACCAGGCTTGCGATGGCGCCGACAGGGCTCTGCCCCGGACGACCTTGTCATTGATGCGGGACAAAGTGCGACGTTTTCTCTCGACATCGTTGGCAAACCAGGCTTGCAAGATACGACTGTGCAAATTGATTATTCCTATATTGGGCTTTCCAACGGCCAATTACCGGAGGTGTTCTATACGCGGCAGTTGTTCATACCGCTTACCGTGACGGTGAATGCTAGCATTGAAGTGGCCCGTTGCGACATCCTACCTTTTACCAGTGACTTTGCGTGGTGGAACAGCCAGGGGCTGGAGCTGGACTCTGTCCGGAACAGCACCACGGACAGCGACCCATTTGCCCCGGTACTATATCAACTGGGGCGAGGAGCATACGGGCACGACCACTGCATCTTGCTACTTGATTTGCGAAACGCCTGGCCCAATCCTTTGTCCGTCTCTTTACAAGTGAACGAGCAGCCAATGGAAGAGGGTTCTGAGGAGGAACTCACTCCCAAGGTTGGACAGTACACCATCTCGGGAGACCTTCAGCCCGGTCAGATCTCGCGCTTCGTTCTTGTCCTCCCTCGTGTCTACGTGGACAACCCACATGCTTCAATACCGGTTCTGAATACTGGAATCAAGAGGCAGTTCGTCGTAAGTGCAAACAAGCTCACCTTCGAGGCAGAAGCAGCGTCACGGGAGGCTTTCTGGTTCCGGGAGGAACTTCTCAAGAGGGTCTCTGGCGTCTGGAAAGAAAGCACGACGACTTCTGGCCACAAGGGAGACATTGAGCTAAGAGCCATACGAATGAACGCGCGGATGGTGGACGCCTTTCGACTCGAAGCCATGGATATCAGCTTTTCCCTGAGCCCCTCCTTTCCGAAACAGAAGACATCTACCGCGGAAAGAATTGATGAAGTGGTGCGGATTGGACGCTCAAAGTATAAGGTACAGACCGACGAGATGCTCGATCTCACCGTTACTGTCCGGAACCGCTCCTCGAAGCCAATCCATCCAATTCTCCGGCTCCAACCCAGTCTTCGCCACCAACCTAGTAACGTCGCCCTTGATCTTTCGCGGAGGCTGGCCTGGACCGGCATGCTGCAGCAAGTGCTGCCTATTTTGCCCAGTGGAGAAAGCACTAGTGTCACCATTGGAGTTACCATCTTCTGCCACGGAGAGTATGAAGTTGGTGCCACTATTGAAGAAGTGCGAACCCTGAGATCGACGCCTGGATTCGAAAAGGATCAGAAGTCAGCGGGCGATGCGCCGGCACTGCACGATGATGAGGCCATCAGAGACTCATTTGGATTAGACGTTACTCGAAGAAGACGGATCTGGCATGCCAGAGAGACATGTATCATGCATGCTTGTGATTAACTGCGTGATCCTCTCAATGTACAGATTGCGGCCCTGGGACGACCCGGTTTGACGACAGCCACGAACACGTGTATGATTTACTCCTCAACTTCACAATTTTGAATTGTATGATTGAAAAGTCGCGCCAGCCGCTTGAGCGTTCTCGCTGATGTTTACACGGGTTGGCCTCTGACCTGAATGTATGATCTTGTGGTCGCTTTTTATTGCATAAGGCGGCATCGAAAACCTATGCTATGAACGGTCATATGTTATTTTGTTCCATAAACATCGAGTCCACATTGTACATGCGGCACTCTAGCAATGAACATATATATATAGATATCATGTATTCCATGTCTCCCGCGCGAACCGTAAACCCTCCTGAGACCAAAATCATCACGAGAAGTCTCCCGCACGCGTCACAATGGACGGAATGCAACATGCATATGTATATATGAGGACCCCAGATGTCCTCAAGCGACCAAATGCTTGGCAGAGACCGAGGGGATCATAATAAACCCTCCAGTGAGCCCGTCAGGGGAGGAGGGGAACTGAAAAGCCTTACAATGGCTGGAAGGGACTCACAGTCGCTGAATCAGACTCCCTACGATGGGGTTGGATCCGCGTCCTGCCTTGTCCTTGCCTAAGGCGCAGCGGAAGAACCCACATCCCCCATGAAATATGCGATAGCCGCAAAGGGCAAAAGCCAAGCTCGTCTCAGGTAGCCGTTTCTCGATCCTGTTTTTCCCTGCTCTCCGTTGATGGCTTGTCTTTCCCAGTAGAGGAGCCCAGTTGATCGCCCACCGGGAAGCTGAGATACTTCCAATCCTCGATCTCCTCGATGATGCACTTGAGTCTGTCGCGGATGCTCTCGACCGCATAGGTTCCCAGGATCAATCTCAGTGGAGGATAGGAGCAATGACCCAGTTGCCAAACTAGATGGGCCGCCTTGACCGCACTGGCTGGCTGCTTATCACCCAGCCACATCAGCATGCGCTTTGCGTGCGCCGCAGGTGCTGTGGGCGTATTATACGGCTCGCTGGGCTGCTTGACAAAGAAGTGGCCGTATAGCGGCAGCGGCGACGCGAGGTTGTGCTCGTTACTGGCCATGGCAGCGGTGTGAGAAACAAGGTCCCCCACGTCGTCGCGGCGCATATGGCCCGGCTCCACGAGCGTCCCCTTGATATTGAAACTGTCCACCTCGTAGAGCATGCTCTCCATCAGGCCCTCCACCGCGTACTTTGACGCACAGTACGGGCCCAGCCCCGGCACGCCCAGCGCGCCCGACGTCGAGCTGAAGATCAGATACCGGCCGGACCGACGCTCGCGGAAATGCGGCAGCGACAGCTGGATCATGTTCAGGGTGCCGGTGAAATTCGTCTCGAACTGGTCGCGGATCTCGTACTCGTCCTGGTCCTCGCAGGCGCCGATCACGCCGTACCCGGCGCAATTGGCGACAATGTCGATGCGCCCGAAGCGCTCGATGGTCCGATCGATGACTCTCTTGACCGTTTCGCGCGCGCGAACGTCGCATAGGAGACCCAGGCAATTTTCATGTTCCTCTTCCAGCTTCTTCATTGATTCGGGGCTATTCTCGAATGTGCGTCCGACGGCTGCGACGAGGTCATTGCGGCTTAAGGCGGTCTTGACGAGTGAACGGCCCATGTGGCCTGTGGCGCCGAAGATCTACCAGCCCAGCATATCTGTTAGTCCAGTACAATGCCAATATAACAAAATAGTCGTGGAGGATCCATTTCTCGTACCAGCCATACGAGCTGCTTAGGCGGGTTCTGCGGCCCCGGGGGATCGGTTGTAGAAGGGAGCTGGAGTTTCGGTTCTCGGGCGGCGGATACAGAAGGCGACAAAGCATTGACGGGCTTGGGTGGTGAAGGATGAATATCCATCGAGGAGTAATACTGTTGCTCCGGGATGTGGGAGCCAGGGGAATATGTCCACGACATGGCTGCTAGGTGCTGATTGTAGGGTGGGGTGCTAGTAGCGATGACGGAGGTCGATGGAGTCTCCACAGGGAAAATCTGGGGTTGACATCTCTACGCCCTCTACACAGGCATAACGGCCAGCTTATTTCCGCGAGTAGAAGAATTTGACTGTTACTTATTCATGCTCTCTTGTTCTATTCATGAACTGTTAAATTAATGGCATCGTCAGGGATATAATAACTATTTACTTTGACAAAGTAATGCCGCCATTGACCATACGCCAGCGCCCAATGACGTACTGCAAGACACAGACAATGCAATATGCATCTATCGTCCGATCTCTCTTCGAAGCCGCCCAGCGGCCGTGGAAGGGCCAGGCTCAGGCCACCCGCTCACAGCATCGTCAACTTCTTCCAAGAAGGAAGTACTGTTGTGGATGGCCGTGCCTCCCAATACCACACGCACTCCAGGTGAGCTGGCGTTGACTTGGGCCACCATCTTGGCCTCTTCGTAGGTTGCACCGCCGACCATAAAGACAATGATGTCCTGTGGCTTCTCCCGAATGTGGCCACTGCCTTCGAGGAAGGGGTACTGTAACTCTTTCAATCTGCCTTTGATCAGATTTTGTAGTGTCACTTCAAGTCGCGGTGAGTGCTGTGTGTATACATTCTCGACACCTTTGAGCCCCTTGAAGCGGTCCCGAGCCCCGGAGAATAACGAAGCTGACTCGAAAAGATCCGAGAAGCCGCCCGCAACAGGGGGCGCCTGGAGAGAATGATGATAGGCAAGAAGCTTCGGTATGATATTGACCTTGTAGGAGGGAACATCCCCTGCTGTGACCAAGAGGTCAAGCAAAACTGGAAGGGCATTGGAAGGCTGCTTTTCGTATCGGAGGGCATATAGGGCTACCAAGCGGATCTTGTTCTCCGCCGGTACCGTGGGTAGCTGAATGATTCTTTGTAGTGTCTACAAAGTGATCCAATGAGTATTGACTGTGCTAGGTTTGAAAGTTTCACACCTCGACATACCTTGAGGTCATTCGCGTGATTGTCATTGCAGGCCAAACTCTGCTCCAACTCACTGACGTCGAGCAGGTTATCCTCCCCAACGCGTCGGCTGAGCTCGCCGACCAGCGTGACGTGCTTGCTCACATTACCGGAGAGTTTGCGAAACTCAGGGTAATCTTCCACGAAGCGCTTCATGTCTGCGATGGACTCGATGTTCATGGTGTTTTGAGTCTTTGTCTGATACTGCTCAACATACTCCTTGATGTTCTGACCCAGGTCGCCAAAATTCTGATACATGTTCTTCTTAAAGAACGGATCTTGATCCTGCGAAAGGACGATTTCCCGAAGCTCGGGCCGAATGTCAGGCACATCCCGCAGGGCTACTCTTCCGTTGGTGATTCCCAGTAACTCGTGAACCATCGCCTGGTATGTCCACTGCGTCAACAAAGGCGTGATGGGGTCGTCTCTCCGGTCGAGAATAAGCAGAATAGGAGGCGTGTCAGTCTTCCTGAAATTGAACAACTGCTCCTCCTGAGTCACTTGGTAGCGGACCTCTGTAGCTAATTTCTTAGCCAACAAGCTGTTCTTCTCGTAGCGGATCAGAGGGTTTTTCTTGAGAGCCAGCAACAGGGCAATCACTCCTTCCGTCGCTCTTTGCAAAGCGTCTGCATTCCACAGGTCCGGCGAGTGGCTCCACAATCGCTGGTTAGGAAACCCGAGGTTCAGGGAGCACAGGTCGGGGTTGATGACAAGGAAGTCGGCAAAGTGCTCCTGGACCACACGCACCACTTCATGCCCATCTGCTTCCGCCAGTCGTTCCAAGGAAGACTTGCGAATAATATTGCTCAGATAAATATGATACTCTCCGTACTTGGGTTCACGAAGCTCGTCGATGAGGAATTGGATGGAAGTCGGGGACGGGCGCACGAAGCACAGACATCGCAGATGTCGCATCTTTTCGCGGGCGGCGTTGTCCAAGCGATCGATCAGGTATACTTCATGACTCAAAAGGGCTGATTGTGTGATAGCCGTCGATACAATGGGCATCTGTGCATCATAAGAGTCAGCCTCCAAAATTGAGCTATCACCGCACTCGGCAGTAGAACGCAGATCCCACTGTCTCACTGTCGAGAAGCAAGATCTTCATCTTGGTTGACGATGAAGATCCCGTAGCCGATGCTGTATCTCCAGTGGTGACCATCTTGGAGATGTACCCGGCTACTGCAGCAACGACGTCCATGATTGTGGCGATGGTGCAGCCCAAGAGGGCGCGTTGGCTAGGTGGGGTGTTTTAAACGTTTTGATGAAAGGACGGATACAGGAGCTTAGTAGAACAGTTAAGGTAGAAAAGCGGATAGTTGAATCAATAATTAGTAAAGTACCTCTGTGACAGACGTAAATCGTAGGAGTAGACAGGGTGGATTGGATGCGTCATAAGACAGAGACAGACCACAAGGGGTTGATGGAATCAAGTCCAGCCAAGCCATGTGAAGCTCTCCACTCGTGATGATTTCATGCCATGTGCTTCTCTCTTCTTTTCTATCTATAAACTGATCAACGTATCCTTTTCGCATCCATGTCGCCCTAGATCGCTCCTCCACCTAGTTACGGATCTTCTCCGTACTTTTCTTTCGTTTTGCTTCCTCTAAAGACCTTTTCATGAAGGGCAGCTCCAATAATGTTACCCTACGTCGATACCAGTATGTGGAAAAGCTCCCCACCGCCAGATCCCAACAACTCACATTGCACCCCAAATCCCTTACAAAAGCAGATACTGATGATGACGACCATGTATAGTATTCGGCTATCCTGCAAGGCTCACAGGAGCTTCAGTGGACGAGCGTAAGTTAACTCCTAAGCTTCTTTCAACAGAGCTCTGTTGTTAATAAATTATTTTTCCCCCTTCGGAACTACAGTCAAACTTATTGCATCATTCCTGCTCTCGTACCCTTTGGCCGGTCTGCTTAAGAGAATTCCCGACGCTCAGCCCTGGAAGAAAAATGCCTTCATTATCGTCGTTTCCTTGTTCTACATGGTCGGTTTATTCGATCTGTGGGATGGTTTGCGCACTCTGCTCTACAGCGCTGCGGGCACTTATGCCATCGCATACTACATAGACGGCTCGCTGATGCCATGGATCGGCTTTATCTTTTTGATGGGCCATATGTCCATCAGCCACATTTACCGGCAGATGATTGACGACCCCCAAGCGATTGATATCACTGGCGCACAGATGGTGCTCGTCATGAAACTTTCCTCCTTCTGCTGGAACATTCACGATGGCCGTTTACCGCAAGACAAGCTGTCAGACCCGCAAAAGTACGCTGCTATTGCACATTTCCCGAGCATCCTAGACTACGCGGGATATGTCTTGTTCTTTCCATCCTTATTTGGGGGTCCGTCTTTCGAATATGTGGACTATCGGCGATGGCTTGATACGACGCTTTTCGAGGTGCCCCCGGGAACTGATCCGTCCAAAGTGCCTCCGACCCGGAAGAAGCGCAAGATTCCCCGCAGCGGTACGCCTGCCACCAAGAAGGCTTTGATGGGCCTGGGGTGGGTCTTTGTATTCTTGCAATTGAGCTCTCTCTACAATAAGGAGACGGTGCTTGGAGAATCCTTCATGAGCTATTCTTTCCTTCGACGAGTTTGGATTCTCCATATGCTCGGATTCACCACACGAACGAAATATTACGGTGTATGGTCTCTGGCCGAAGGTGCCTGCATTCTATCTGGACTCGGATACAATGGCTTTGATCCTAAGACAGGCAAGGTCTTCTGGAACCGCTTGGAGAACATTGACCCCTGGAGCCTTGAGACGGCCCAAAACTCATATGGATACTTGGGGAGCTGGAACAAGAACACGAACCACTGGCTTCGCAACTATGTTTACCTGCGCGTGACACCCAAGGGGAAGAAGCCCGGTTTCCGAGCCAGCCTGGCCACCTTCACTACCAGCGCATTTTGGCATGGATTCTACCCTGGCTACTACCTGACATTTATCCTGGGGTCTTTTGTTCAAACAGGAGCCAAAAGTAAGTATACAGCCGGCGCTTTCCCCTCTTTCTCTGGAGGTTTTCGCTTATCTCATTGCAGACTTTCGCCGTTATGTCCGTCCGTTCTTCTTGAGTCCTGATGGCGCTAAGCCTCTGCCTACCAAACGCTATTATGATATTTTCAGCTGGTTTGCTACGCAGCTCACCATGACCTTCGTCGTGATGCCGTTCATCTTCCTTTCGTTCAGCTCGTCCATCCAGGTCTGGCGGAGCGTGTATTTCTACGGCGTTGTCGGAAACATCCTATCCATCATCTTCTTCGGGAGCCCCGCAAAGGGATATCTCGTCCGATCCTTGAAGAAGCGCAACAGGCCCCACATCCCGCGTACTGTCAGCATGGAAAGTATCCAGCAACCGACCCTCGGTCTGCCGAACGACCCGGCTCGGGAATTCGACGATGCGGTCCAGGAAATCAAGGCCGAGCTTGAGGCGCGGAGAAGACACGGCAGTGTGGTCGGGATGCCAACTGGCGAGGAACTGAAGGCCGCCGTGGAAGACAAGCTTGGCCGGAAGATCTCGTGATGGCTCCTCGCTGTGGTTAGAATATGCGGCTCGGCGGCGGGACCTCTCGACTCGAGATCCCTGGCTCGATGTCATGCCGCGAATCACCGTTCGGTTTAAGTCGTCTTGGACGACACAACGATTAGACTCACTTGTGGATATTGTTGTACTAGACTTACGTTTGTTAGCTTAGCAGCGCCCTTTTTGCTTGGTGGCGTGCGTCCGGTCTGCTTTTCATCACTTCCTGGTTATACTATAATGGGAGGTCTATTCTTACGAGCAGCTGTGAGAGAGGCTTGGATATTGTATAGCCTGCCAGAGTTAATAAATATTTCACTGATTTCAAACTCTTAGCATTATGCGTGCAAGCCAGATCATGTTGCTACAGATTTGATCTTCATACTGCTCGAGCCGAAGGTCGTCTGAAGTGTTTCCATTGGTCATGATCCTAAAAGAT